GGGTGACCACCACGGCACATCTTGCCGCAGACTGGCAAAATAGTTTTGAGCATCTTTTTTTTTTTTTCTGAGAATGATACAGATATGCACTATGCGTCACACGTAAACATTATGCTGTCTGCTTGCGTATTTCAGAATGCTTGCCAAGTTTTTTGACCAGAGTCCTCTTTAACGCGCCTTGATTTATGATTCGTACATTGCCCGGCCCAGGTCATTCCGGTCTTCCGCGCGCACGCTTTGTGCGCGCCAGGCGCGATCAGTTTACATTTCGGCCTTGATGTTCGGGGATGAACATCTCGAACTGCGGCAACTTTTGTGATTTCGAGGCCATGTCCTGGATTGTCTACGCACAACAAACTTCTGATCCCCCTCAGTCAAGGCTTACACTGTTGTGTACAGGAACATCGAGAACTTCATGCCGCTTGAAGAACTTTAGTAGAACTCGCTACTAAAGTTCTAGTAGCGCTACTTAAGTACTAGGTTACTAAAGTCGCTACTAAAGTACTAGGTTAGTTGGGGCATGTCTTGAATAAACAGTCAACGTCTTGTGGTGTCTATGTATGTTTCTCTGTGTGGTTGTTCATTTTGCTCGATGTTGACTGTTTAATTGAAGAACTTTGCTTCTTACAGTGACATGAAACACAGTGTCAACATTTCGGCAGTGAATGTCTTTGCTGGAGGCACTGCCATGCTCGACGATTGTTCGACGAGCCGCGTTCTATGCTGGACATGAAAAATATTTTTTTTTCTCCACTCAAAACGAATACAACAACAAATTAACAATAAAAAGCTTTACCTGCATTTCAAAACAAATAATCCGTTCTTTTTGTCCAACGAAAGAACCTGACTAGTCGCAAAATATTTAAATAATCAGTTGCAGACGCATCACCTTTAATTGTTGAAACTCACACAAAGCTATACGTCAGTTCATTTTCTTTCTTGAAATGAAAGAATGGGTGCCTTGAAATTATGCCATCTCAATTACACGCCTTCTCCCTGCGCATCATAATTCTTGACTGAATGAGTCAATTCAGCGTCGGTAAAGTATTTCCGCCTCGACATACAGTTCACGTGTGAGAACGACTGTCATTTATATTTTTCATTAAAAACCTTCATTGTCTAATAAAAACGCCCTGCGAGGAAAAGATACGTGTGCAATTAAAGAATAAGCTAGTACACTATTACCAGTTACACCGGTAGAGGAACAGACGAAAAACATTAATGAGTTTACAGCAAACAGCTTCAACTGCTAAAGGAGGCCTCAATAGTATATTTAAAAAAAATCAGAGTGAGTAATCACTATGAATACTGATCAACTAAAAAATAAAAAATACTGGCCTGCGCAGGGATCGAACCTACGACCTTCGCGTTATTAGCACGACGCTCTAACCGACTGAGCTAGCAAGCCATTGAGCGCGGTAGGCTGATACAGTGTACAACCTGTCTGCAGCCGCTACGTTGAAGTCATTTTAATGTCAGCGGTTTCACATTGCTGTTAGAGATAAAGAGTATCACGTCACTGCTCTAGCCTTGTCGGGGCCGCTCTCCCTTCTCTGTGCTTCATCGAGAAGAGGTCGCGCCAAGGTCGCCGCAACGCTGCGTGAAGACTCCGTCCGTAGTTCTGTGCATCACGACGGAAGGAAAAGCTGCAGGGCGTATCGCGCTATATGGGATACAATTGTCCTGTGAAGCAATACACAATCTTTATTCTGATGTGCGTGGCTTGGTGCAGTTTCAGGCGAAAATATATGTAGACAATAGCAAGAAAAATAGCGCGAATTGAGCAATAAAAGGTTACACAAGAACACGTATAAGAAAAAGACGAAAGTAAAACAAGCTGAAACAAACCAGATTTACACAATTCATATATATATATATATATATATATATATATATTATTAACAAGAAATTTGTAACTTTCAGAAGTGATCGAAGGGAAATATGTGCTCGCTGTGTTCACGGTTGCTTTTTTTTGTCGTGATAGAGATCTTAAAATATCTAGATGTATAAATTATAGTTCTAGATATCTTAACGGGTAGACGAGATAAGGAGACAAGAGGTACATCTTTAATAATTATCATTGATAACCTATTGAGTAATAGTGTTTGGAGCGTTATTTTTCGAAGGGCCACCAGTTGAGTTGTGGAACACATGGCTTTCGATGCTATCCGTGTCCCTGAAACATATATTTACCACAATTTCTCGCACGCGCACACGAACATTTTATGAGAAACGGAAACGCTCACAGAAACCCGTCAGATCACGCTCTCCCGACCACGTGAGTCTATAGACGCGGCTTCAGTTCACCTGAAGCCGTGACGAGGACTGAAAAGACAGGAAGCGAGATTCCCACGCGGGATAGTTATGATGGCGCTTCGCTCTTTAAGCCTTCAGTCGTGTTATATAAGCCCACCATGCTTTGAAAGGGCCGCCAGGCACGATAAAGGAAAAGCCATCGTACATTTTTTCCGGACACGCTATTTGAATGCGCCGCAATAATGTTTGACTGAAATCCAGAAGTCGAAAAGATAGAATGAGCGTTTGCTGCATTTCCCTCCAATACTCGTGGACCTAACTCTTTTTAGCAACATTCAATACATTCGCGCAAACCATACTACAACGCGATGTATTAATGGCATGAGTAATCAGTGGCATTCTTTTTTCTCGGCAAAGTAGTTCCAGTCAAGCACTTACTTCCAATTTTCCTGACTATTCAATAAGGGCTTTTAAAAAAAAATAAAATGAAATGTGTGGTTGTGTTTGAAGTTAGGAGTTACATTGGATACACATTTATTTATTTCAGACATACTGCCAATCCCAAACGGGGATCTTCGCAGGAAGGTTCTACACAAAATAAAAATTCACATGAGTGTTCAATTCGCAGATAACAATATGGTGAATTAACAACAGAATTGCACATAAAATTTAACCAGCAAACCAGGAAAGTTAAAAAAAAGCATTTATACAAAGGTTGCTAATAACGCGGCATGAAAAAGAAGTCATAATCATAAAGCAAGAGTATACAAAAGCAATGTGTGAATTGCTCTTTACAGGTTGAAAATTGTGTCATAACATAAAGCAAGATGGTACGCTTAGTACTATATAAAGAGTTCATGTTTGAGGAACATATAGAAGTTACAGGAAGTTATCTCCGTCATTACAGGTAGCTATGTATGCAGGCAGACTATTTCATAACCTGATGGCTTGTGGAAAAAAACGAGAATTTCAAACAATCAGTTTGAACCTGTATTCTTCAAAAAATTTGGGGTGCTTATGACGAGAGGGCCTACTTTCTGGGTGAGATAGGTATTTGTTCGTATCAATACCAAGCTTATGGTTAAAAATCTGGAACAGCATTTTCTGATTGCCACGCGAGTCTTGTACGCTTACCAATATCATCTAGGGTTTGGCGTTCATTCGGTACATATTGTTACGCTTAATAATAATATCTAAGGTCTGGCGTTCGAAAAAGTATGATCTGATTATGAAACGCGTCACAGTGGAGAGCTCTGGAAATTCTGACCGTCTGGCGTTCTATGACATCGCAAAGTACATGGGCCTCTGGAATTCTGACTCCATTGAAGCGTGACCACTGCGGCCGGAATCGAACCCACAACCTTTTGTGTTCGCAGTTGAGCCCTGCAACCACTGCTACACCACGGTGGACGCAGACCAGATGCATGGATGCATGACTATATGCGCGCATTGCAAATATAGGTGCCCAGAATTAAACCTATATAGTACTACGGCGTACCCTGGTGCCATTATGCGGTTTTGGTGCACGAAGGCAAAACTTCAGATCTTCTTTAACAAACAGCATTTGACGTACATATCCGTAACAGAATGTAAAGTTGCTTCAATGAAGCCAGGTCACCAGGGCGGAGATATTTCAACTGGCTACATACTCAAATTACGTAGTCTTTGATTTCGCTATGGCTATTTTATATGACATTCAAGTCAATTCATGTATCTGTTATATGAAGCAATTTTTATATGCTATTGTCAATGCACTACTGCACGTACAATAGACCCACGTCAATACGATAGTTCCACCTCCATTGTAGAGAAGTTGCATACGGCTACGAATCGGGACAAGGAGGTGGTCCATCATTCCGTAAGAGCACAAGAACTATAATGAACAAACAGTAATTAATGCTACAGTACTCGCAAACTGGAAGGGCCTCCACACTTTCAACTGTTTCCTTTTCAGAACTTGTCAGCATAAAGGTATTGTAAGCTAAGGAGTGTACCCGCCGCAGTATAAACTGCTCCCCATAACATCCTTTGGGTGTTTTTGAACCCTTTAAGCTGACTTCACGAAGTGAAAATTTGAAGCTCACGTCGCTTAAAAGTGGTGATATGAAGTGAAGAGCTACGACAGAGGGCACTCCCAGCTCGTGGTAATAAACGCCGGGACAGCACGTTTCAACTTCTTATAAAACTCACGGAGACCCCTTAGGCAGTCGCGTTGGCAATTCGAAGGGGCAAACAATACGGCATGTGTATTCAACCAACTGCACGGGGTGCTTAGGGGGCGATCTTAGTTTTGATTGATTGTATATAGGCTCCTCAGAGGTGCTAAGATCACGTCCACAGTGTATCTCACAGCTGTTCATTTCGTTTTGATACTTGTAAAACTTTCTTGCCCTCTCTGTCTACCCTTCTTTTTTTATTCAAGTACGTTCTTATTCGAGATTGTAGTTCGATGACTTCCACTGGCTAAAATGGCGGCAACAGCGAGATATTCGTAGACATTTATCTCGAGTTGCTCCGGCTGCAAAGTGCGCGTGTTGAGAAACAAGAGGAGAAATTTCCTGGAAGACATCTCGCCAGAAGGGACTAGCTTGATACCACGAAAGCCCGTTCCGCATCGGAATCCTCATGCCCTGCAACCGTATACCACGATTCTGACGAGCTCCGCTTTTCTGGACGAGGATAAGATTATCTCGTTCTGCCACAGAAAAAGAGCTCACTAGACGAAAACAAAGAAGAAGAGCAGCCCGACTCGCGCGACTTCTTGCAGAGGGTGACCAGCGAGAGCGTCTTTTTTCTGCTGTTTTTGCTACAAGTGACACGATTAGAACATTGAAAAGTCTGAGAACCCCTCCGTGTTCGTTGTTACCACGTCGTCTTCGCAGTCTGCGAGTCGCTGCGTTCAAATCGCCGTCGTTCATAATCGTCTTGACCTTCAACATTAACAGGCAAGTGTTCCCAAACATAACTCATTGCTAAGCTGGTTGGTACATTGCTTTGAATAAACTAGACGCCTAATCGTTGTCAGAGGAAAGTAGACTGATCAGCAAAAAGGTGTCACCTCAGACTTTCAAATATATCAACAACGGCTTGATGCGTGCTAGGTGGGCAAGCCTTATTTTGAACAGTCAAACCTTCTGAAGACCATGTGAAGAATATATGCTGCATGGTTTGTAAATGAGAAGTGATGCTCCTTCTATTACTTTCGCCTTTTTTTCGTGTGATGGCGGTTAGGTGTCTAGTTTATTAAAAGCGTTCCTATGTTGAAGTTAAATTGAAGGTATAGCCTATAGTAGTTTTATCTTTTAGCGGTAGCTGTATCTTTTTACGCTGTATCCTTGCTTTATCTTTTAGATGTAGTGCCTAATGCAGCATAACTCGTCAGTTTGTTACGATCAACACTGAAACTCAAGATTCCTGGTTAATGCTTACAACTCGGTGTTGCTCAACATGTACCGAAACCTGAACGAGTGTTTTTTGAATTCACCTTTATCAAAATGCGACCCACCCTCCACAGCAGCTTAGTGGATGCAAAGCTCAAGGATGCGCGTTCGATTCCCGGTCACGCCGTATTTTTTCGTCGTCATCATCACGCTAGCTAGGATGCTTGTCCAGGACAAAAGCCTTTTTCATATGTACCATCAATCAACGCTATCCTGCACTTTCTTTATTTTTGATGGAGTGCTCTTGTGCGTAATCTTGTTCTGTTTATTTGCTGAGGAGAGTTTTCATTTGTAAATTGTTCAGCAAAGAGACTGCTAGCTATATAAGTGGAGCAACATCAAACTTCCAACAAGAAGTTGAGTTTTCTTTCTATGAAGACAAATTCTCTTCATGAGCACACGTGAGAGCGAACGAGATGTTTTTATAGCATACGTGAGGCGAAATTCTTTTTGGACTTAACACTGACAAGAGCACAGCGTTCACGCATCAAACGCACACGTTTTTTTGTTTTGTTTTTATTGTATTCATGGTCTCGATCACATGAAGCACAATATACGACGACGTTTAGCTTGACTGAAACGAAAAATTTTATAAACGCCTGCCACATAAATCAGGCCGATAATTGCGCAGTAGCTGACATCGCTCACTATAAATGGCGTCCGTCTTTTGAACAGCTTTACCGAAATTACTTTGTGGGTAGATCCATCTAATGAGAGGAACCGCAATGTTCTTCAACTCACATTCACAAGCGCAACGGCTTCGTTAGCAGTTTCTGTCTCGAAGTTTGGTGTTTATTTGCTGGCCAACTGAGTATAATAAGCGATGAATCGAAATGAACACCGCTGTGACTATGGCATCGTACAGAACAATGACAGCAGTCCGTTTTAAGTAACCGCTGTTACCACTAATGATTCTATTGTTTCGATTGGGTTTCCTGGGTCGAGTTGATTCTCTGTGGACACTTCTGCGGTATGGCCATTAAGAGAAAAACCCAAGCTACATTATGTCACAAGTAGAGATCACTATCTTTCATTCTAGCGACTCACGCACCACTGAACATAAACAAATACGCGGACCCACAAACTCTCCCAGTGTTGTGCAATATCCCTACGTGCGAATACTTAAACGAGCAGCGGCACGCGAAGTTTTCCGAGAAATCTCGTAGTTGAGAGGTGTGCTGTATGCGTGACAAAACTACGAACGAATAAAGGCAAAGTGAGAGTTCACAAATCTTGTTTGCATGAGCTATACATCGTTAAAGTACGGCGTGGCGCGAAAGGACGTGAGCAAGTGACTGGTTCTTGTTACCGACAGCCCCGTACAAAAAAAAAAAAAAGGAACACCGTCTACAGCTTGTGTGCATAAGCAGCTAAGCAAAAGTCTTCTTGCTCAAGCGTCCACTAATGTTCTTTCATTTTTCGACCATGTGGCGTGTACTCAGATTTGGGTGCACGTTAAAGAACCCCAGGTGGTCAAAATTTCCGGAGCCCTCCACTACGGCGTCTCTCATAATCAAATGGTTGTTTTGGAACGTTAAACCCCACAAATCAATCAATCAATCAGTCCTGCCACATGGCATATCATAGCGAAGTGCCTTGCTTTTAAACAAAAAAAAAAGAATTGTCCATGGAACGCGAAGCAGGGTACGTAGACCACGCAAGGCCAGTCACGCGATTTCTCGCGTGTACGTGTGATTACTTCGCCGCGTTCAAAAACTCGGCTTGTTTTGTCACAATCTATGGAGTAGATAGTAGATTGGATCAAAAAAACGCAACAGTAAGCGATCCAAGTGTTGTTGCTGTCCGGCGAGTGTGTGTTGTTTTGTCATTTGTGCAGTCGGGCGATATGAAGACCGCCTTGGTGTTGGCGCTCACCGCCTGCCTCGTGGCTGTGGCGATGAGTGTGGGAGGCCGCATTTCTCCGAGTCGTAAGCGACCTCTTCTGTCATATCGCAAGCGTTATCCGCACAGTAGCCATGAAGACGCCTTTGTCTGCATGCGCAACTCATATTAATCGTAGCCGATATTGGTAGACGGCAAAGGGACGCTTAACAGGGCGTTGCGTGCAGGTTCTCGAGCAACAACGCTACCTCAGGTGAAATTAGTTGTATGTCACTGTGGGTTCACACGGACGTCGAGTGCGACGTAAACACGTAATTATGAAAAAGACTGCATGCTTGCTTGAATGGGGAAAAAAAAGTAACGAAGAGTTCATGTTCATCTCATATGTACAGATGGGCGAGTATAGTCATAAGCTGCCATGGTAGCCCGTTGGGTGCCATGCTGTTAAGCTCGAAGGCGTGGCTTCTATTCCTCATCATTTCACAGAATGGGACTCAAATGAAAGGAAAATCATTTAGTAGCTTTAGGTGGACGTTAAGGAACACCTACGTTGTCGCAATGTATCTGTAGTACCTTATATGTAGCACCTGAAACCTAGCAGTCATTATTGCTGTTTAGTCATAAGCCTAAAACGGGACTGATGAATACATAGCGCCAATATTTTCCTCATATTTGGAAAGAACATTAAGCACGCGAAATATTCAAGATGCCGTCTGGAGTGCTTCTAAAGAACGTATGTTTTCCAATGTTTGGAAATGAACGGGAAATGAAAAAGCCCGCACCAAGCTTGAAGTATCCTTTATTGGAGCATCATAACATCGTCATTTAGAGAAAGCGTCTAAGAAAATCAACTAATTATGCAGTTCCTTAATTTGACAGCCCTATATATATCATAATTGGCTTATATACCCAAACTTTAATTTTACAATGATGCTGTTCACAACTGCGACGCCCAATTTTCCTGTCTTCGTAGGTACAACCCATATACATGAAGCCCACTTTAGCTCGCCTAGGATTGCACATTCGGCTTATATAGCTCTGAGCAGGTCTGAATTAGTTAACTAAAGGAAAAGAGAGAGAAAGAGAGAGACAAGGGGTTGAGAGAAATGCAGGGCGGTCAACAAGACTTGTAGCATCCGGTTTGCTACCCTGCACCAAGGGGAGGGGGAATGGCCAAGACAGATGAGGACAGTGAAGGGAGATTAGACGCGTCAAAAAAAGTAGGGGTGCTATATATAGCCTATTCATTAGGTCACTACCACAAAAAAAGTTCATAAGGCCTTGACTGATTTTCTGTGCAAATAACATGATGATGTTACTCATTTTTAGGGGCCAGTGCCGAAGTCTTAAACTTAATGCCAGAAATTAAGTCATTCTACAAGCTAGGAGGATCTCACGGAGATTATCTTGGTAATGATAAGGTGCGAAAAGTTAACAACAATAAACAAAAAAAAGAAAACATACTTCCTTCCAAGAGACACGTCATTGTTGGATTTCTGTCAGCAGGTTATCGTACGTTAATTTTGCCCTATACTTTTGCCGCAGGTCAGGATTTCGCCAGATGGAGGGACTGCATGGTTGCAAAACTTCCCGAAGACGTAAGCACCAAAAATAACACTCTTTTGTTAATGAACACATTTTACGTACATGTTGCAAAGAATAAACAAGCACTGCTCACACAATCAATGACTTTTAACATCTAAATAACGTATGCCTTGACCATCCTTACTGCTGGTGTCATTCTGTTTACCAAGTCGTTTACCAAGGCGTGAACAACGAATCTTTCTCTATCGGCGCCATCAAGTGTCACGCCACACGTACTACTTCTCTTCCCCGCTCACAAATGACAAAACCAGCCCAATCGTCAACAGGGAGCACTGTGCGAGAGAAAACGTATGTGAGAGAGAAGGCACGTTTGCACGGCACTTCACATCTACCTCGATAGCTTAGTTGGTACAGCATCAGCCGCTTATTGACGTTCATAAAAGAGCTGGAGGTTCGTTAAATGTCCAGTTTGCACCGAAGAGGTGTGCTGAAGTAAACTGCGCCAAAACAAAGAGTATTAAGGCAATGCGCGACATTGGCACCAAATTTAACTAAACTCTTATTGGAGCCATAAAATCTAATATGGAGCCAGAAAAGCAGAAAAGCTAACAAAAAAAACTACGTTGTTTATCATTACAATTTACATTTTTTACAATTACATTGTTACAATTATTTAGATTGTTTCTTGCCGGAAAAGTCAGTCAAAATGAAAGTTTTTCATAGTGTTGAGACGGCTATCAGTAGTTGCGAGCCAACTTATTCTTCGATGCTTAGAGCTTGAGCAGAGTCAATGTCACCATGCGCTCAAGAAGTAACTATTTTCGCCTTATTTGTCTCTATTTTGGCAGTGTCGAATGGATATGTGAAAAGAAGGGTAAAAGGGGTGATTGTACTGCGCGTGTCATTGGTGACTTCGCACAGAAAAACGTAAACTGAACATAGAGAGAGAGAGAGATAAAGATGCAAGGAAAGGCAGGGAGGTTAACCAGACGCACATCCGGTTTGCTACCCTGCACTGGGGAAGGGATAAATGGGAGAAAAGAGGTTGCAGAAAGATGAGAAGGTACGCACAATCACGAGCACACTCGGGGAGCACACACAGTCTATAGGCGGTCGCTCAGGTTTGTTGACTTTAGGTAAAGTAGCAGTGCTTTAGTTGCTTTCTGCGCAACTGAGGCAGATTCCCAAGGTCCTAGTATCTTCTGCACACAAAATGGTCCGGGGTCAAGTTGATTCAAAACCATCCGGAGCTGGCATCGCTGTGTGTCGTAGCAAGCGCAGCTGCACAGGACGTGTTCGATGGTCTCTTCAGCTCCGCAGTAGTCGCATGTAGGAGTGTCTGCCATACCAATGCGAAAGGAGTACACCTTTGTAAATGCAACACCCAACCAAAGGCGGCATAACAGTGTCGCATCGGAGCGGGAAAGTTGTGATGGTAGCTTTAGCTTCAGCGAAGGATCCAGTTCATAAAATTGACACCTTTGAAAGCTGGTAGACGACCAGAACGTGCGTGTGAGATCTCGAGCCAGCAGGTAAAGTTGTCTTGCTGCATCATTCCTTGATAGAGGAATCGGGACTACACGGGTTTCTTCATGGGCTGAGCGGGCAGCATCATCGGCTAATTGATTTCCGGTAATACCGATATGTCCAGGCAGCCATTGATATATAATATCATGCCCTCGTGCTAGAGCTTCATGATGGCAATGTCTTATTTCTTGTACCAATTGGTCATGACTCCTCCTACGCATGGCAGACTGCAAACTCTGAAGCGTAAACTGAACATATTGTTATAAAGATAACGCGAGATGATGTATGCCATGTCAATGTCTTCTGTATTATTCGTTGGAGCTCCATAGCCACATTAAGTCAGCACTGATTCTTTTTTTTTTCATCCAAGGTTAGTGACAATCTGACTCCTATATAATTCCTCAAGGTACTCATCATTGTACTACGCTGTGATTCTATGGCATTCTGACATAACGATGGACTACCAGTTCTTTCAACCTTAAACATACAAAGAATCGCCCCCTACAACATGAATGATTAGCATGGCCATTAAGTGGCTGTGGTAATGGGATGATGGACTGCTGCTTGTTACAACCATAAACAAATACCAAATCGCCCCCGCCCCCACAAAATGATTGCGTAGCATGGTAAATAGACGGTTGTGGTAATGGCTAGCAGTAGAATCTTTGATAATGTGCAGCTTATAATAATTATCTTTTTTTGTATCTTTATTATCTCACAGAAAGTACAAACATACGAAAACTGCCGGAACCACTCTCGTGGCACTGATATGCGCAAGTTCAGACAGGTAAGAACTTCCGGTTTTCTGCCTGCATCACCAACAAAGGAATTTCACTTCCCATCTCCAGCGTTAAGAAAAATTCACCTCCGTTTATCGAAAGACATCTCGTGTTTTGTTTTTGTTTTTGTTTTCACGCTAGATATAGCCATCGTCTGGTTCACGTGTGCTCTATCACTACTACTAATCAAATAATTGCCGCACAATGCCTATTGCAAATGTAAATGCATGAATCAATGCGAATAATGCGTCGTGTGATACACACACAAAATCAAACACGTAAAATGGCTGGAGCTTGCACATTAATACATGCGCAAATGTATGCTTGAGTCAGCCAGGAATTGACATGCATAGAAAAAAACTCATATTAAAAAAAATTGGCCAGAATCCACACGTTACACTGTAAATGCCGTCGAAAGACGATAGTCTTGCGTCTGGAGAGAATGAACAAAACGTTTATTTGATGTTCTGCTCAAGAAAATCGGTGAATGGTATCTGGAGGCGTTGCGTTAGAGTGCCTTGAGGGTGTAGCGGAGGCGAACGAGCGCATCGAGGCACGTTAGACAGAAGCGTCATCTGGCAATTTTCTTCGAAAATGAAGGCGTGAAGCCCGTGCAGAAAGATGCGCGCCAGTCTCGGAGTTGATAAGGTGGAGAACGCAAAGCGACGGGCAGGTGCCACTACCGTGGCGTCGTATCAAAGCGTTGGAAACACCTTTTTGAGCATCGCGTTGCACTGTCAGCGCAGCGCGATTAAATGCGACATTCCTTAGAGTTACTTGTGTGTGCCTCTTCTAGTATAAAGGCAGACATAGAAAACATTGGGGCGTTGTTGTGGCGCCTCAGATATGTGCAATAATTGCTTTTTAATTGACAATCGCACAACTATGAACGCTAAACCTTGAGCAATATTGGTGGATGCTGCGGATGGGGTTGGCCGTTTGGTGTCATTTGAGGTATCGTTGGGACTGACAGACAGACAGACTGACAGACCAAACTTTTTTTCTGTTGAAGGTCCCCAAAAAAGACTATCGTCTTAAAAAAAACTGCCAGGTGGCACTCATGTCTCACGTGTGACGTGACTTTATGCGCTCGCTCACCTCCGCTGCACGCTCGAGGCACTCTAACGCAGCGCCTCCAGAATACCATTCACCGATTTTCTTGCGCAGAACATCAAATAAACGTTTTATTCACTCTGCAAATGTCGTCGAAAGACTGTCGTCTTTCGACGACATTTGCAGTGTAACATGCCAATACGGGGCCAATTTTTTTCTTTCATTTGTTTTTTTACAAGATACCACTCGAGATAAGGGAACCAGGCAAGCATTAAAGGAGGAAATCTGTGCACCCGGACTCGCATGATGCTCTTGCTAGCTTATGTGCAGATAATTTAGGTAGTACTTCTGAGTGTTATCTTGGACTGCTTTATTGCCATCTTATTTCGTACTTCTTGGGTTTTATCTCATGCGGGCTAGCACAGCGCGTGCTACGAGTGAAATGCGGATATAAAATAAGGTGGTTACTCAGAATTGCAATGATTACTGCGTTTTAGTGCACATTTTGTATGTAATCTTGTGTTCAGTATGTGACAGTTTTCACTCGTGTAAGTGAAAACACTCACATTTCAGCGTGATTCATCAAAATATCATCCATCTTTTTGTTTATTTTTTCAGGGTCTGGAATGCGTTCTCTCCAGCTACAACCTCGTAAGTTCACTGCAAACAAAGTACTTGAACAACCTATTATTTTTCATAATAACAAAGTTACAAAATATTATGTCCCTCAAAAAATCTAGATAAAATCCGGACAGTTTGTTGTCGAAGATGGAGCAGCAACCGATATAACCAATCATTTGTCAAATTAACGCAGCAAAAAACTCCTCAATGAAGCAGAAGCTACCAATACTTCTTCATATTCTTATTGCACAGTTTTTGTATTTTCTTACTTATTAAGCGTGCACATAGTGTAGATATACTTACGGGTGAGGTTGAATATTCTCTGTAGTTTGGCCAGACAATGCATATGCTAGTTTTTTTTTTAGGAATGCACAACGATATAAAAAAACAAAGTCAAACAATCAGTTGTGTTATATTATTATCGGTTCCTACCATACGCGTACTGTACACGACAGCGTACTTGTACACGCCATACATTTTGCTTGTACGGGTCCTTGATCAGGCTGGTGGTACCTTTTTTTTAACACGAAGAACTGAAAGGAACCAGGTGCGTTGCTACTCGTGAGGCCTCAGCTAGAGGCGTTCAAAGGTAATCTCTTTGAATTCATGTTTCACGGCCTGGTCGCATGTTTATGAAAACACTTCTAGGTCATTGAGTCAAACCGAGATTTCTTATTTGACAGTGTTGTAAGTAAATAAAACATAAGCCAGCCATTTAACAAGAAATATTATACTTGGTGTTGCTAGTGAACAGGGCACTTGTGTAAACATTTATAATAATATTGTAATCTTTATAAAAATTAGAAAAAGCCCCAAGTTTCAAAGAGTACAGTATGCTCCCATTCACAGCACTTGCAGTATCCTGTTGTCCATTATAGTGCCCCACTATATATATATATATATATATATATATATATATATATATATATATATATATATATATATATATATATATATATATATATATATATATATATATATATATATATATATATATATATATATATTTATATATATATATACAACATCTAATTATATCGCATGTTGGCCCTACTTCCGTATCGCGCAATAAACTAACAGAAGAAGATCTGTGGGCTTCAAAGCAGAGATGGCAACCATAATTACAAAGTAATAATATTGGGAAAGTAAGAACGTGCGCTACGAATGTCAAACGCACACCCTCAGAAATTGTCAGCTCGTCATCAACGGCTTTAATTGTGATACGAACTAATCATACGTATTCCCCATTGCCACCCGCTTCTCTTATCGACCTCGTGAAAGCCCGAATCACCAATGGTCGCATGCCACGCCGGAACGGTTGATTAAGCACTTTCTAATAAGATGGTGCGCACGACGCAAGTAGAGTGAAGTTCAGGGCTCGACAACACTTCGAGACAGAGGGCCGAGTTGTCAGGGGCGCTTTGCAGGCAGACAGAAAAAATTCGGCGAATCGACAGTAACCATGTACAAAACTGGAATGGAAATCATGTTCATTTTCGGCGTGCATGTCAAAAGGTCGAAGCTTGTGAAAATAGCTTACAAGCAAAGGAAAAAAAGAGCTGTAGACTTCAATGCGACTTTCGGTGCTTTCAGGACATTCATAGCCAACTTGCGAATATCTATCTCAGCATTGCTCACCAACAGGCACATAAAGTAGTGAAAGTGTTCATCCATCAGTCAGTGGCATGAGCGTGCGCAGGCTTCTTTTTCAGTAAGAGCTAAAGTTCATCGCAGTGCTAATCCCCCCCACCCCTGCCTTTTATGTCAATGTATAAGGCGTACTTTGCGCCCCATTTCCCGAGTCGCAGCGCCCTTTCCATTCTCCATATTATGCCACCTATGTGTCCCCACACTTACTTCCTGCTCTCCCCCCGTGTGCACGCCTATGGCAAGGGGTGTATTATAACCTTTGTACGGGGGCCGCACAATGCAGTTGCGCGGTCCACAGGTTGTCAACCCCTGGTCTAGTTTATTCTGTAACTAACGCCATCGCAAACAATAAGAATGGAATCTCCGAACATGCGAATGTAAACCCGATGTGTTTCCCGGGTTATACAGAATAAAAAGAGAGAGAGGCAGGGAGGGTCACGGGTTAATGATTAGTCGATGCCCGATGTCCGTTCTTGGCGCTGTCATTTCACAGCAGTGGCAGGTCTGTGCCAACCCCCACCCTCAAAAATTTTTCTGTGACCGAAACGACACTCAATTACATCTGCTTCCCCCGCTTCCCATTTCAGATAAAAAGGGTGCCCCCCCCCCCCTTCTAAGGAAGTTTCTGCCTACACCACTGTTCTACAGCACAAGCTAGCCCAATAGTTTTTATCTGTACGAGCTTAGATACTGCGTATTCACTGTCACAACTACGTGGCAAAACAACGCCAGAGACTCCCGAGTCTGGATTCACGTGGTCAAAATAAAAACTGGAGGCAAAATCATTTATTGTTTCATACCCGCGGCGACCACTAATCTATGCATGCCCTGAAACAATGCCAGCTGCGGCCTCTTCCCTTTGCACTCTCTCACCAATCCGGTAATTGCTGTGCGAGTCTAAAAAAACAAAAGATGTGAAAGAGACATTGCATAGTCAGTCGTATGGCCACAGCCTTTCACAGAACAGACTTTGTCATTTACAAATGTCCTTCAGTTTTTTAAGCTCTGGACCTTGTATATTACTGCGAGTGTCATAGTATTGTAGCCTTATATTTACTGTTTGTTCGCAGGTCAATAGGACCGACGTTGACTTGAGCCGTATGCAGCATCTGGCTCAAAATATCACGCAACCGGAAGTGCGCGCCGCGTTCCAGGAGTGTGCCCAGGACGAGAACAACAAGAAGGTGAGTCGTACGAACTCTCCTCACATTCTTAGACGGAGTTTAATCAGTCGAGGGGGTTGCCAGGAAGAACTGATCACTCACAATCTTATACGTCTGGAGATGTCAAGATAGCGGGTAAAGAAAATTAAAATCTGCCACTTAGTTCAAGCTAAAGTTCATTGATTTTTATTGCACATACTTACACGTGCATAAAAATTTGCTATCGGCACGTGATTTGCCGCACACTCCGAATCACACATTGCGTAGCTTCTGCCCATTACTTTTTTTATTCGTGATTTGGCTTTCCACTTTGTACTAACACACTAGTATGAGACAGCCAGAGCAAGACAGGCGGTGTGCAAATGCCTGTCTTGTGCGATTTCTGTATTACTTTGCGCAATACGAAATTAAAAGTGACCACCGACTAGCCCTAGTCAATCGCTTTAATACTTGTCATCATTTCACGCTGTTCAATATCGCGCTGCCGCGGTGCCCCATATAGGACAAGATGCTCGGCCCGAAGGTCGCGAGTTCAGTCACAGCTGTGCCAATTGGATTGGACTATAAGAGGAAAGGATAAACTACAGAGCACTGGCTAATGCAAATGGATTCAAACCCTTTTCGTTGTTCGGACTAAGACAAAAGCTAGTTCAATGGGACCTCTAAGAGTGACGTTTACTCTTCCGCTTGTAGAGAAGATGGTGACTAGAATATGTTGACTAATTGAGAAGGAGGTCAAATAGTCGTGCTTCCGGTGTTCTATTCGACGCTGGGTGAACCGAGACACTAAGCGCAGAGTGTAGTCCAGTAGCTTCATACTCACACCTTTAACAACAGAGTTATGTTGCCACTAAGAGGCACCGTTGAAAGACAACCCGCTCACCTCGCGTGCTCCTGCATAGGGGATCCCGCGAGGAATATGATCTATATCGAAGAGCACGCAGCCTGTGAGCACTTGGCAACGAACAGCATAGACCATGTTCATGCGACCAAACCAAAGAATGAACTACAAGTGTATTCCCAATAATAATCAGGCGTAGCAATACAAGGATTTCACTTCATTTCACTTTACGTTTTACCTTACAGATCCCTCTAGGGGTCTATAAGGTAATAAAGTGAAATACATGAGGGGTGAATGTAGAGAAATTATACAAAATCGAACCACTTGCGTTAAATTAGGCGACAAGTAATTAGTTACACTTCGCAAGATAAAGTCGAGCACGTTGTGGTGGCACTGCTGTGGGAAAGGTCGTTCCAGTCATATGATGCCCGCGGAAAGGAGGCAGGGAATGTTTCGGTATGGCTACGTGGACGGGTGACTTGTAAGGCACGACTGGCGTGATGAGATATGCAGGCTGGAGGGGTGATACAATCCGTACACTCATGTGAGGGGTAATAGAACCTGTAGAACAGGGCTAAGGTAGTGGCAATGCGACCCTAGCTTGTGATGGTATCTTTCTGAAAAAGCTGCTTTTTTGTTCCTTCGTTATGACGCAATCTGAATCCTAAAATAAGTGTTATCACCATCTAAGCTTCCTCGCCTACATCTTCAGGTACTGCTGTTATAGAGAGCAAAACCAGGTGAAATCAGGTTGAAGCTCGATCATTGCCCACCACTTGTAATCGGCAGTTTTCCGGAGACACAAATGCCCTTTACAAGTTTGGGGTGAAAGGATTGCCGATGAACTCAGTCGTTGTCGCACAATGAAAAAGACGAACTAATTGAGGGCAACGCATGACACTGAGCTCACTACATAAAAGTATCTAACGCAGTGACAAATTACTGCCAATGAGCCAGTTGCAAAATGTCAGTTTCTCACGGCTGTAAAGGAGACTTTTCGAGCCATAGTGATAATTAGCATTCAAGAACTAAGTTCAACTTCTGTCTGCAGCACAAAAGCTTCTGATACCAAACAGACATCGTCAGAACGTTTGTAAGAAAACCTAAACGTGAGCCATTGCCTGACTTATACTGCCGCATCGAGCAAAACAGTTATATGCGCTTTCAAGATATGCGCATTCTTTCTGGGTAATCATAAACTATGAAATATGCAGTAAAACGTAATTAGATATCAAGCTAATATAGCGCTATATTGTACCCCTGTTTAAAACGGAGGCCACCAAAATTATGATGAAAATAATCAAGTATTTATATTGTGGAAATACCCAACACTGTTGCAACGATACTTTAGAAAGCTTGCTAATATTATCGTGTCTATTAAGCGAACCCCTAATTGCGATTTTCATGAATGTGTGCGATGGTTTCTTCTCTGACGGTACCTCACTTCTTGGTCCAGGTTGGAAAGGCAGTGAAGTGCTTCATTGATCACCTTGAAACGGTGAGTGTCTCTCCACCTAATTAGTTAATTTAACCATTTGGTTCAAATGGTCAAGTTATTTCAAATTATCAAGTTAACTTAAACATTCGGTTCAAATGATCAAGCCGTTGAGCTGTAAAGATACAGCCCTGGCTCATTCGTGCAATCCTAGGAGCACCCGCGGAAGCTCTACAAATGTCAACCCGCATTCGGTGCGAATACGTTGGTGGCGCCTCCACCACCTTTGCACAGGTGTAAAATTCTCGGAAGGCCAGTATGTTGCTGGCATCTCTACAGCCTGTATCAAAAAAGATTGTCATGTCAATATCACTTTCAGCATCATGATTGTGTTGGATTAGTTTGGCGCCATTGTTTAAAATGGGCGTAACATTGGGTGTCAAACATTTACTTAGATATAAACTTGGGCTGGTCAGTTTTGCATGACAGGTGAACGATGGAGAAACTCTGACAATGAAAAACTAAGAAAATAATTAGTACGTGCAAAAAGGGCCTCGTCAATGTTATTCCAATGTTTATATTTTCTCAAATGCAGTGTGATTCACGTTTCATTATGGGCAGTACCAGCGCACAAACCCACGGGACGAAGAGAAGAGACACAAACAAACAAACAAGACACAAAAAAAGAAAAAAAAACAGCGCTTGTTTTTGTCTCTTCTCTTCGTCCCGTGAGTTTGTGCGCTGGTACTTCCCATAATGTATCACCAACTAGCCCAACTATCAGTCCTGCTTCACGTTTCATGTTTGACTACAGACCAAACAATACACAAGCACGCAAGCGCGTGACATATTGCAGCGCAGCCTATGGTGCGTATACCGGACAAATATTAGTACACGCAAAAAAATGTTCGAAATGATCTGATATCGTGAGTTTAGTTCATGCGTATGAACACGCCTGTTCGGGATCTCGTCATGTTTTCCACAATGCTGCTACTTTTTTTCACTAATTCCTTTTGCGCAAGCCAGCACTCTTTCGCATCGGTGCAGAGTGTAACAGAGTCGTTGTACTATTCGCACGGATGATGAAGATATATGCCAATAAATTTCCTTGACAGGTGTCTTTCGTGACACTTTCAACCTATAAAATAAGCCAGCTCCATAAGGTTACCTGGCTGGATTATTACAGAGGAAGCAATAAACAAATGAGTTTCGAAAATCACCACTAAATATAATTTTCACCGATGAGGGGCCAGTGGTAAAAAAAGAGTCATTGGTAAAACAAGCCATTGGTTGAGAAGCAGGATTTGGGACAGATGAGATCGAGTGAAAGCTCATAATAGAATTATATCAAACACGAACAGCTAAAATTCAAAGAATTCTTGTCGTTATTAAGGGCGTGGGGCAGTTCTGCTATAACCCATTCTTTAGTTTTCACTTATCTGTACGGGGTGTTGAAGGCGCCCTCCAATACTTTTTCAGCGTGGTCAGAAAAACCACTGATCGATAGTCGAGGCTCTCAAGAAAATGCGAGTCAGAAATGTTATAGCGCAGCCCGTGGTCTGATTTTAAATGTCAACTGGAAATCGCTTCCTCTTCTCTCTGCAAATTATCTCTTATACCCAATTACTGTGGCATGTACCCAAAGTGTATGTCCCTTGGCTGATTTGAGCATAGTGAGCTGCGTAGTTACCATGGCCGCCACGAGATGCCACCACGTGCCTGCGTGCGCGATCACACTCAAAGTAAACGACACGTTCGAAGAAAAAAAAAAGAGAAAGGTTCAATGTTATAACGCGCATGGAGGAAAGGACGCCTCTTCTTTCTTGTAAGCTCCTTCGTCGCGTGGCTCAAGCGCGCTCACTGACACGAAAGAAGAGAAAAAGCGTTTGAAGCGTGCGACAAATTTCTGTAACTCCACTCGATGAGGGATTTTAAAATTTCTTGCAGCATGTGATTTTTGAAGCGTCATAAGTTAACAGTGAGATTATTTGAAAAGTGTAGCAGGGCCCTTTTAAATAAGATGTACTGGGGACACTGCTCAGCAAATGGCGCAGAAAATATTCAGCATCTTTTGTTACATACTCACACACACACACACACACACACACACACACACACACACACACACACACACACACATATATATATATATATATATATATATATATATATATATATATATATATATATATATATATATATATATATATATATATATATATATATATATAGGTATGGGATATGGATGAGTATAACTCATCCCCTTGATGAAGGGAGGACCCCTCCCGAAACTGTTGGGAAATAAATATATTTATCCTTGTTGACAATACTCCCGCTGTGCCATATCCCATACCTTCACGAAGACTAACTGGCCCATTGAATTATTACTCCCATATTAATATATATATATATATATATATATATATATATATATATATATATATATATATATATATTGGTGTATGTGTGTGTGTGTGCGTGCGCGCAAATTTACATATGGACGTAATTACAAAAGCAGTTGGCTGAGCCGCATGATGTGTCACTTTGTTGAACTGCGTGATGTGATCAACGCATGCAGTGCGCTAAATTTTTATTTTGCTGGTTTATGCTTTTCCATGCAGTCTTGCCCTGTACCGGACGCAACTAAGAGGGAGTGAAAGCCGGTATCGGTATACAGCTTCAGTTGTTGGAGTGGATGTTTACCAAGCTTCTGTAAGTGCAGTTTTATCCCGTTTTTCTGAGTTTGACCTTTCTTCTTGACGAGGAAACAATGACACAAATGCACTGACCCCTACTAAAATTTTAAAAAAAACCTAATAAAGACAACTTTTACAAAGATAAAAGAGCAGCCTACGTGTAACGATACCACCACGCCCATGCCTTGTTTCAGTATTGCTGCACGTGGTTGACAACCACAAGGACTGTCAGCAATGCTCAGTGCCGACCGCGCCTGAGTGTTCAAGAAGCTTCACTATTGTAGTAGATCGTTCAGTTAAAATTGCGCGCAGGACGCGAACAACCAAGTTTATTCCAGAGCATGTGCGACCAACTGTGGAAAGGCTGGAAAGTTGTATGTGATGTCTTTTATCGATGGCCGGCACTCCATTCGCCGATATCAGTCCACAGAGTACGTTGCTTGCTGTAGTTTGGGTTTGTGTTTCCCAGCCACAAGTTCGGCCAAATAAAGATTTTCTTTCTGGACAAGCCAACTGCTGCCTTTGTCAACGCCATGACTCCATGACAATATTTTTTCTTCTCCCTTTATCACAAAGTAATCTTCTGTCACACTTTTTTTCAACACTGGCACAGGGCCTCACCACAGCGAGTCCTTCCTGCCCTATATTGGACGCCGTTGGCGTATGTAACTAAGTAAATGTGATCATAAGTAAACAGTGATCATAAGCTAACTGTTAGGTGAAACACTTGAGGGAAATCAGTGGGTGATGAAGGGAGAAGGGGTGGTGTGAGTACTTGAATAACTTACTGCGCACAACGAACATGGCTGACTGGGTATAGGAGCCATTGAAGTAAATGTCCCACTTTCACCACAAATGCGAAGCAGTGAACGCGACAGCAACTAATTTCAATGTTATACAAAGAAAGGTTGGCAACGAACTCTTTTGCGTCCGATTCCACGTAACTCTGCCAAACGCAGGAGAATACGGCTGTTTCAGGAAGGGCCAGACTGTTCGCACAGTTTCCTATGGTTGAGAGCACAGCGCGTAGAAAGGTATAAGAGCCAGCCACTGACGACTCGAGATAGCGCGCGGGCCAGGGATCATGACCATGCCCTTAGAATCAAAGTCTACAGTTGTTTGAACCTGAAATAGCACTTCTGCTGAAGCACTCTAATGACCTCTTTGTACTCGTGCTACATCTATTCCCAATTACTGAGCTCATACTTTTTTTAGAATGCTCTAGCAATTAGAAAAGCAGGTAGCAGTTGTCAGCTTTTCTTTCGCAATTTTCTCTGTGCATTCTGTTTTCTGTGTTTACGAATGAAATAACTAAACAATAAATTTGGAAGCCACCTTTACCCTTTCAGCCCGCCAGCTTCCTGCGTACCTACTGATGACATTGCGTCGCAGAATGCAGCTAAGATCTCTGGAAGTTTTTACGTAATATTGCGAACTCATTTTTCTATGCAGTGTAATATTAATAGGCAGACATGCTGACATGATCTTCGTCGACAGGTTGGAGTCCTTTTTTCAAGAAATCAAGAAACAGAAGTGCAGGAGGCAAGAAGGTTAACCATAAAAGCTTCTGGTTTTCTAAATATGTTACAAAAACATTGAAGGGTCTGTATTAAACCTGCATCTTTGGTTGTAAGAGAAAGATTCAAGGGAACTTTAATATTAGCCAATATCTTATGCTCGTGAGTAGTGTGTAGGCACGATACCACGCGTTAGACAGTGAAAAAGAAGCGCTTTGGTTATTCATAATAAAGTAAGTGCGTGCTCAGAAAATTGGGCCCTCTTCAGGGCTCGAAATATTGAACGATTGAGGCTTCCAATATTAATTGAACGTATTGCACATATTATATCCCTATAGCGCCGCTAAATGTGAGCATGAAAAAAAGAGGCAGTAGTGAAGAAGGGAGACACAGGAAACAGTGTGAGCGCAGCGCTTGCCTTCTTCACTGTTGCTTTTTCCCCTGTGCTCGGACTGAACTGAATTATAGCAATACAATATTATAATGCATCAGCTCGCCCAATTAGCAGTATTGAGAATAATATAATAACTAGGTTAATTTGTTTCAAGGCTATCCAAATGTACGAGTATTTGCCTTCTTTTTTTATTTCAGATACATTCAATTTGCCATTTCACCATGCCTCTAAATGTGGTCCTACTAAGTGCGACACTGCGCAGATGACAAGGTGCATGTCAAAAAAAAAAAAAAACGCTCGGCGAAAGTTTTTTTCTGATGGAAAGAAGAATAATGTAATCTTTTCCAACCGACAATAAATACTTCCTATAAGTTGCGAAAGTGTGGTTCTCTGGACTAATCGGTCACACATGTACAGAGTAAAAGCAGAGCAGAGGAGCCGAAGCACAGACGTATTAATCTTTTTCACCATTGTAAACTTTTGGATTGACAGCTTTGGTCTGTTCTATAGTATGGTGCACGCTTGAAGTGTCGTGTGCACTGTTGTTCTCGCCACTTTTTTGTTTATAACGCTCTGCTTCAATCAAACCTTAACGGTCGCCCTGTTTCTCCATTCACGTGTATTTCACCTCCTTCGCACATATTTTTGTATTTTACAGTTACTATGAGTGGCTCTAGCAGATGTCCCGCCATCTTTTTAGTAGTCCTAATTATCTGTTATCTACAGTTCTTGCTGACTTTGCAATCAGGTGGTGGGATGCCATTGGATACGTTTAAAAGAGAGCGATATTTGAGGCCTAAATTACCGAAAGAAGAAATTACGTCTAATTTTATGAGCGTATTTGTAGACAAAGAGGACTCCCGGAATTATACCATTCGGTGTTCTTTAACGAGCCCGGAAACATCACCGCACACGGCCCTCTAACATTTCACCTTCATCGAAATGCGATCGCCGCGGCCACAATCAAACCCATTACCTTCAGGTCCGCAGCCGAGCAACGCAACTGCTACACCACCACGGCAGGCAGCACATAAATTTGTGAAGCGATTGCAAGTTTTAGGGGCTTTAATTGCAAGAGACAAAGCAATCTTGCAACACTCCTGACTAAATTTCGACAATAACATGTAACGTTAACCAGCTTTCCTTGAAGCGGGTGAGATAAATTCGTTAGTAAGGTTACCATAATACCAGTCCAGCTTCAGGTTGCTAAATCTATAGTTTAAAATAAACCCCCTCTTGGTAGGCCCTTATCATGGGCTCGCGAGGCAGAATTACTGCATGGAAGTTATTTCCCAATCGGCCCTTAACTTATAGAAATGGTCAGAAACAGCACAACAACATATAATATTGTCGTCTTGCTTTTCTTGTTTTTTCTTTTTGCTGTTAAAGCTGGATGCGATCAAGTCCTATCGCCGCGGTCAAAAAGTGGCACCTCGTAAAGCTCTTCGATGAAAGCTCAGTTTTATAATAACTTAAAATGAGGAATGGCTCCTGGAAAGTCATCTTACCACGGCCCCGTGGCTGCGTTAGTGGTTTCCGGCGCTAGGTAATTGTAGCCAGCTGGGTAATAAGCGGGAAAGGGAAATGAATAGCGACGTAAAGAATTATCTTCTCCAGCATGCAACGAAGATTACTCACTCTAAACACACTGTCTTTCTATTTCACCTTTCATTGTTTTGATTGAGAACTCTAGTTCTCTCTACTGTTTATGAGCACCCTTGCGTGTAACTGTCCTCTCAAACAAAAGCAACTTGCGACTGCCGTTTATGCGTGAGGTTCGCAGCCTATTAGACTATAGAGGCGCTAACGAAGGACGGCGCGACATGGCACAACTTCTTTCCACGAACAATTTTCCAGACGAAATCAAAACAGCGGGTCCCTGGCAGGCGTTTTAGCTCTGCCCGGAAAGTCCCGCGTACACAGAGGGCTCGTCCTACTCAGCATACCATCCCCAAGGTAAAGGTAACCGCTCTTTTCTGCATGAAGTGAACCAATAAAATTTAAAAGAAGAAGAAACTGCGAGTCTTAATAAGACGTGACCTGGCGAGAAAACTGCTGGTGCCATTTGTTTTCTACAAAGAAACACACTGGAAAGCGGTCACGTAAGTACTCCGGCGTGGTAGCTGTGCTCGTGGGCTACTGCCAGCTTTGCCTTGGGTTTGCGTAATCGACGTATACTTTCTGCGTGGTGTGTTACCTAACCCGTGCATGGCACGAAGCGTCGTGACGCACCCTCTACGTGCCACGCGAGACGCTCGCCGCCAAGGATACACTTACTCCTTTGTTATATGCATCCTGTCACGTGGCGCCTCTGGCGCAGCGATAAACGCACAGACACACACACGCGGAGACTAGCAGGTTATATAGGCCGGCGTAAACCAGTCACGCGGCTTTTTTAATCGGACAAGCGACCGCATCGGTTCTCTCTCTGCAGAAGCTAACGGCCGGAAAGTCGACGTTCTGTGTGCGAAAGGTGGGTGCGTGCATTGGACGCTGTTGAAGCCGGGATAAAGTGTGGTGTCGCCTTCTGTGCAGCTCTTGTCGTTTCGACGCTGCTGACACTGCGCAAAATGAAGACCGCCGTAGTGCTGCTGCTGGTCACCTGTTTCGTGGCTCTGGCGACGAGCGCGAAGGACCGTGCCACCAACCACCGTATGTATATACACGCACTCTTTTTTTTTATTCGTTCGTTGTTTATTACGCGTTCAAGTGATCCATGAACACATTTTCTAGCTTTAATGGGCATACGACAGTGAACGAGAGGGCGCGACGAAGCTTTTTGGGCCGCCTCAACATTGTTGATAATGACCGCCAGGGATACTAAAAAAAAAAGAAACTCTCGCTAAACACATTGACACGCTGAAGTGTCAGTACCCTATTTTGGCACGTTTTCAAAGAAGCCTTCCTGGGCGCTTACATAATCAGCCGTGACCCCCCCTGCTCACAACTAAGAAAAGAAAATAATATCCAGGGGCAAGTTCGGTTTTGCTGCGTCTGCTCGCTAGGCTACGAATTAAAAGGCTTGGTTTTGTTGCTGTGTGTTCTGGCGCTACAATCAGATCTCGTAAACTGCATTAACGGGTGCTTATACTCGACTGTCAGGAACATATCGCATTCGCGCAAGAAATATTTCGCGCAGCTTTGAGGGTTTGATGATTATCTGTTACAAGCATACCCATGTATCTTTGGAGCGCCCCTTCACACAATCACTACCGATGTGTATATTTATATTACATGCACATAATCAAGATGTCTTAGATTTACTTTGAAAGTGTAGGAGAGAAGATTTAGACAGGAATGAAAGCTATAGATACCCTACATAAATGTTGCTTAATCTCCCACTAAGGTAACCATGAGTAGCATGTTCATGGGTCGACTTAAAGTTCCGTTCATTACGCGGGCACCTTGCCCGATGTTAACGCGTCCGTGCAAATGGCGCATATACCACAAATTCACCGTAGAATCTGTTGCTGTTACTCATACCAACTTTCGTGGGATCAATCACTTATGTAGGCGCTAAAGGCGCATACGTAAGACGAGCGAATGACACAGTACAGGCGCTACTTTCAACTGAAATTTTATTCGAAAGGAACAGCAAATATATAGGTGTAGCCTCCAGAAAGAAAAAGCATTAAAGCAAGACAAGATTAACAGAACAATCGAAAAACATCATGCTATATCTATGCAGAGTTTATTCACGCCAAAACGTGTCCATAATGTATGCGCCGGTGCGAGTCTAGGTGGAGACTTCTATAGTTAGACATCACGCCAACAGCGTCTGCAGAAGCGCCAAGGCACGCATTATGTGAATGTCTCAAGCGCACACTCCAAAAAGTGCAGTTCCTTTTTTCTTGTCAAGGCTGTCGAAAGAGCACAAGCCACAATTAAATCACCCCTCTTCATCTCAGCGACCTCGACAATTAGTCGGGAGTCAATTCCGAATTCTGATATAACACAATGGTGTTATTGAAAAAAGGTTTGCACTCTCATTCCCGTCAGTGATGCACGAGATGTCCCTCCGTTCCTTGGCACACCTTATTGCGATGCTCACTTAGGCGGACATTGGCACAGCGACCCGTCTGCCCTACATAGACTCGACCACAGGAAAGCGGAATCCTGTACCCCCTCTGAGCAATTCACGAACTTGTTTCGATGCTTCATTTGACACACCTCCCTTGGCTTCTTCACCGGCGAAGGTATAGGGCATAGTCAAGATGACTTCTCAGGCTCCGGCATTACAACTTTGACTCCGACACGTTCGCCGATATTTTTTTAGGTTGTGTGTCTTGTGGTGCATGTAGGAAATCACAGCCATGGACTGTAATTCCCTACAGTCGAGGCATCAGCAGTGATCAAGGCACTACGGAATCAAGGCATCATCAACGTCTATATAAACATACCGGAAGAAATCTGTAGCGGATTCACAGCCACCATAGTTATCCATAAATAAAGTGGCAGAATCACAATAAAGAATGATTTAAGGCCGGGAAATATAATCTCTCAAATTCTATTCACCCCGTCTTTATAGGAGGCTTCCTGAGTACTAAATTGGAAAGACTTCGGGATAAAATTTAATGAACAGCATCTTAGAAACCTGCGCTTTGCTGATAGTATTGCCTTGATAAATAACTCATGGGACGAGAGATAGAGAGAAAAAAAGGCCAGGAGGTTAACCAGATATTGGCATCCGGTTTGCTACCCAACTCGTTACTGAACTGGACACGGAAAGCAGAACAGTACGTCTGAAAAGGAATATGCATGAAACTAATGTGCAACAAACAGTGCTTCGCGATTGGTTTAGAGATGATAGAAGTTTTAAAGAAATATATCTACTTTTGACAGATAGTAACCGTGGAGCTGAACAATGATAGTAAAATAACTGGAATAATAAGGATGAGGTACATCACATTAGGCAGGCATTCTGAAATCCTGAATTGTAAGCTACCACTAACCATCAAGAGGAAGGTATATAACAGCTGCATCTCGCCGGTGCTTACCTACGGAGCGGAAACCTGGATGCTTACAAAGAGGACTCAGATTAAATTGTGGTCGACACAGCTAGTGATGGAAAGAAAAATGATAGGTGTAACTTTAGGACTCAAGAAGAGAGCAGAGTGGGTCAGGGAACAAACTGGAGCTAAGCATATCAAAGTTGAAACTAAGAACATGGACATGGGCCGAACACGGCGTAGGCAGGATAACCGCTGTTCATTGAGGGTAACTGATTGGGTTTCTGGAGAAGGAAAACGCATGAAGGGGAGACAGAAAGTTAGATGGGCCGATGAAGTTAAAACATTCGCAGGCATAACGCGGCAGCAGAAAGCACAAAACGGGGTTGACTGGCGGATAATGGGAGAAGCATTTTCTCTGCAGTGGTCAGGATGCTGCTACTGATGAAGATTGCCTTGTTGAAGAAATTCAGTTTTAGAATTTTGCAATCACCTGTAAAATAATTGCTTTATCTTTCGGAAAATATAGAACACATGGGCACTGACAATTTCAAAAGTAATTTCTAGTCCCTTTTTTTTTGCATATTGACAAAAAATGCGTGTGTATCCATAGAGTTTTCGCTTTTTTTTTTTCAAAGCTATTATTTGAAATTTGTGCTCGCTCTTTTTTTGGGGGGAGGGGGAATTTCGAGCATAAGAAAACGGAATTCTCACATGTGTTAGCATCTATTATATAACTGGAACTAAAATCTGTGGTCTAGGTGCATTAGTATATTTAGTATAAAAACAATTTTGATACACTCAATGCATAGGCAATTTTTATTGGCTTACAAACGTAACTAAAAACAAAACAAGTTTTTTGTATGCTCATACTTTAGCTCCCCTTCTGTAAGGATTTTGTGTCGACCTTTGCGCAAATTTGCAGATCTTAATAAAGAAGTACATATAAATAAAAATCAAATATAAAGAAACGGTAAACATAACTTGAAGTTAAAGTTAAAATGACACCTTCGTCTACCTTTAATATACCTTGCGAATTTTGTAGCCATAGCTACTATTACCACTGTTGTACAGCCAAAATATGAAACTTGTTTACTAAGCGTCACAACATAATAGAGTGGGTGAATGTGTACCCAATAGACTCAATGCCTTTGGTTAGAATGCCTGGAATTATTCCCTCGTGTAATGGTCGCGTACGAAGCGACCATTACACGAGGTCGGCAAGAAAAAAAAAGAATGTTAATTTCGCACTCACTGCATAGGCTGAGCTGAGCGCGCTTACACTCTCATTATTACTTTTCTAATATTACCCAACGAAGTTATGGGGAGGCGCCTCCTGTATTAATATATCATCAGACGCGCATTTTGAAGGTTGTAGGCTCAGATCTTGTAGATAAATAGGGTTATGTTTTGTCCACTTTAATTTATTTCAGTTTATGACATAATTATTACACACCTGTTAAGAGCAACAAGCAACGTTCCCTTGCTCTCCCTGGCACAATTGGCTGTTCGATTCATTAGAGTGTGTCTAACGTGGAATCGAGCACCGTCGCGAAATTCCCCCATTTTCGTTATGTCTGATAATGAGAATTTGTACTCACGCACGGTCACTGCTCTGTGATATTCGCAGGTCAGCAGTTTGACGACTGGAGGAGCTGCATGGTGCAAAAGATCCCCGTAGACGTAAGCACTCATCACTGCATGCGTGCTCTAGACACCCAGAAGATTCAACTATGATCTGTCGCTGTCAAGTCTCTGTCAGTGCGGATGACAGCGACTGGTAGGAGAAGTGGCAATATTCACCTGGTAAAAATTTTGGCTCGCTTCGAGCGATTGGATACCCTTCAATACAGACCACAGCATTCACTCCCCAGCATTTGTTTTCACTGGTGTGCATGGTATTGTAAATGTTTAATGATTATGATTATTATAACTTCATTGTTATAATCATGAAGCATCTTTTGTCGATAAGTTTTATGGATATCCTCTTCCAGAAAGTGCCTCAATATGATGCCTGCCATGGCCGCTCCCGTGGGACCGACATGCACAGATTCAGAGATGTAAGAAATTACTCCCATATGTCAAAGATACTTTGTATAAAACGCATTCAGCTTTGAATCATAGCATTGCTTATGTTTTTCGTAGAAGGTGTTTTGTGTTCTTTCCCGGTCTGAACCCAGAAGGAAGAGCATGCTTTCATGGTTGGCTTGGTCTTGACACCGCGACGTTCTCGTGCTTTCCTCTCTTTAGTAACATTTTCATTGACGCGTCATTATCATATTTTACCTTATTTTCGCTAAATTCTTATTTTGTAACCCTCAAATCATAGATTTCTCCATAAAAATAAAAATCATCATAGCTTGTTCATAAGTTGAATTTGGAGTCATTGATTCATTGATAAGTGCAGTTTGGGTGGTACCAGTAGCTTTTTTTTTTCTTCACTATACGTGCACTTGTCAGGAACAGCTATACTCCTATTATTTACAGAGCTTACAGTTTCCTGTTGAAATTCTGATACCAGGCAAGGGTTATCCGACGTGCTCTGCTCAACCAACTTGCATAAAAGTATTTGTTGGTGAACTGTCCACCAAATAGTGGACTCTCGTCTTTGTACTATTACAATTTCACCACATTTTAATGTGAATGCATTTCTTAGAGGGGCTATGTCCGACATCCGGCGTTTTCCGCGACGGTGTCCGCGCACCGGCAGGTGTTATCTCTCCGCCCTCACTCCCTCACGCTTATCCTCGCCCCTAGCAACCGGGGCATGTGGTGCGCCAGAGTGTAGGAGAGGGTAGGTACAGTGCCTAGCCGCTCATTTTTATTTGACGTCTCTTATCTTTTTATTTTGTTTAGCATAATACTTTCTTTACCACTCAGTGTTATCTTTTTGTTGTCGTTGTTATTGTCGCATAACAAAGATAAATATAATGCCTGATCTATTCCTTACCCCAGCATCTCCCCGGCAATCTACGTACGTAGCGTAGCTGTGATATGCGCACGCTGTCACTGATTAAGATGTGAGTGTACCAAGCACACATTACCGTTAAAGGACAAATCTTCATAATAGTACCGAACATCGCTTTTTAAATGATAATGTTGGATCATCATCATCATCATCATCAGCCTGACTACGTCCACTGCAGGACAAAGGCCTCTCCCATGTTCCGCCAGTTAACCCGGTCCTGTGCTTGCTGCTGCCAATTTATACCCGCAAACTTGTTAATCTCATCTGCCCACCTAACCTCCTGTCTCCCCCTGACCCGCTTCCCTTCTCTGGGAATCCAGTTAGTTACCCTCAATGACCAGCGGTTATCCTGTCTACGCGCTACATGCCCGGCCCATGTCCATTTCTTCTTCTTGATTTCAGCTATGATATCCTTAACCCCCGTTTGTTCCCTAATCCACTCTGCTCTCTTCTTGTCTCTCAAGGTAACACCTACCATTTTTCTTTCCATTGCTCGCTGCGTCGTCCTCAATTTAAGCTGAACCCTCTTTGTAAGTCTCCAGGTTTCTGCTCCGTAGCTAAGTACCGGCAAGATACAGCTGTTATATACCTTCCTCTTGAGGGATAGTGGCAATCTACCTGTCATAATTTGAGAGTGCTTGCCAAATGTGCTCCACCCCATTCTTATTCTTCTAGTTACTTCAATCTCGTGGTTCGGCTCCGCGGTTATTACCTGCCCTAAGTAGACATAGTCTTTTACAACTTTAAGTGCACTATTACCCATCTCGAAGCGCTGCTCTTTACCGAGGTTGTTGTACATTACTTTCGTTTTCTGCAGATTCATTTTAAGACCTACCTTTCTGCTCTCCTTGTCTAACTCCGTAATCATGAGTTGCAATGATTTAATCAGCAATGCAATGTCATCGGCGAAGCGCAGGTTACTAAGGTACTCTCCATTAACTTTTATCCCTAACTGTTCCCATTCTAGGCTTCTGAAAACCTCCTGTAAGCACGCGGTAAATAGCATTGGGGAAATTGTGTCCCCCTGCCTTACACCCTTTTTGATTGGTATTCTGTTGCTTTCTTTATGAAGCACTATGGTAGCAGTTGATCCCCTGTAGATTTCTTCCAGAATGTTTATATATACTTCATCGACGCCCTGATTCCGCAGTGCCTGCATGACGACTGATATTTATACTGAATCAAACGCCTTCTTGTAATCTATGAAGGCTATGTATAGTGGTTGGTTATATTCTGAGCATTTCTCTTTTACCTGATTGATAGTATGAATGTGGTAGATTGTTGAGTAGCCTGTTCGAAATCCTGCTTGTTCCTTTGGTTGATTGAATTATAATGTTTTCTTTACTCTGTTAGCAATTACTTTTGTAAATAGCTTGTATACTACAGAGAGCAAGCTAATCGGCCTGTAATTCTTCAAGTCCTTGTCATCTCCTTTCTTATGTATTAAGATGATGTTAGCGTTCTTCCAAGACTCTGGTACTCTTCCCGTCAGGAGACACCTTGTAAATAGGGTGGATAGTTTTTCTAACACAATCTGTCCTCCATATTTTAGCAGATCTGATGTTACCTGATCCTCACCAGCAGCTTTGCCTCTTTGCATGCTCTCCAAAGCTTTTCTGACTTCTTCTATCATTACTGGTGGGGTGTCATCTGGGTTACTGCTAGTTCTTATATTATTAAAGTCGTGGTTGTCCCAGCTACTGTACAGATCTCTGTAAAACTCCTCCGCTATTTTAACTATCCTATCCATATTGGTAGTTATTTTGCCTTCTTTGTCCTTTAGTGCGTATGTCCGATTTTTGCCTATCTCAAGTTTCCTCTTCACTGCTTTGACGCTTCCTCCGTTTTTCAGAGCGTGTTCAATTCTCTCCATGTTATACCTTCTTACGTCGGATACCTTACGCCTATTAATCAACTTCGAAAGCTCTGCCAGTTCTATTTTGTCTGTTGTACTTGAGACTTTCATGGTTTGACGCTTCTTAATGAGATTCTTCGTTTCCTGGGAAAGCTTGCCAGTGTCCTGTCTAACTACACTGCCTCCAACTTCCACTGCACACTCCGTAATGATACTCGTCAAATTATCATTCATTGTTTCTATGCTAAGGTTGGTTTCCTCACCAAGAGCCGAGTACCTGTTCTGAAGCGAGGCTCTGAATTCCTGTACTTTCCCTCTCCGTGCTAGCTCATTGATTGGCTTGTTGCATATCAGTTTCTGTCGTTCCTTTCTCGAGTCTAGGTGAATTCGAGACCGTACCATTCTATGGTCACTGCATCGTACCTTGCCAACCACTTCCACATCCTGCATGATGCCTGGGTGTGCACTCATTATAAAGTCTATTTCGTTTTTATTTTCGCCATTAGGGCTCCTCCATGTCCACTTGCGGTTTCCTCGTTTTCGGTAGAAGGTATTCAAAATCCGCAAATTATTGCGTTCTGCGAATTCTACTAGTAGCTCTCCTCCGGCGTTTCTAGTGCCGATGCCATAATCTCCTACTGCCTGGTCTCCAGCCTGCTTCTTCCCTACCTTTGCATTAATGTCGCCCATCACTATAGTATACTGTGTTTTTACCTTACTCATTGCCGATTCCACGTCTTCGTAGAAGCTTTCGACTGAAGCGTCATCATGACTGGATGTAGGCGCGTAAGCCTGTACTACCTTCATCTTGTATCTTTTATTCAGTTTAATTACAATACCTACCACCCTTTCATTAATGCTATATTACTATAATTAATGTTGGATATAATAGACTAATAACCACACTCATGAACGTCAGAAAATACCTCTCGCTGTGTGATGTAGTACTGTCGTTCTGCATACTGTGCCCGTAGATGTAGACTACTCCAAAGGAAGTGTTGCAAGTTCAATAATCAGCAATGTAAGAAGGCCGCTGTGCCGCGTTGATGCTAGAACGTATTCATCCCTGATGTGTTCCTAACAAGCTATGTTCACGGCACTCGCTCTCTGGATTTCGTTTCGACCGGTTGTGCTTCCTGCGACCGTGTCCTGCGACTCCTGCGACCGTGTCCATCTTTCCTATTTCCTCTTTACTTCTGGGTGTCGCTGTCCCTGCGGAACGCTCTCTCTTTCTTTCCCTCTCTATCTCTATACATTTTAATCCTATCATTTTAGTCCCTCCTTACCCCAACCCCACGTGAGCTACTGTTGAGGTGTCCTCCCACGCAGAGACAGTTACGGGGCTCACTTTTCTTTTCTTTTCATTTAGGAATCACCCCCCCCCCCCTTGTTCACAAAAATTAGGCAAGCGTGAATATGCCCATTTGAAAATCTTTTCTGCGAGTCCCGAACGATGGAACACTGGCTATATTTGTGGCGCCGGCGTTCTATGACAAAAATTTAATGGGCTCAATCGCAGCTGAACTTCAAATATTTACGAAAAAATCTTTACCAAAATCTTCCTACCTTCTAGTTTCATTCTAGAAATTTTCGAGATTAAAAATTATCTTGAGCCTTTCCCGAAACTCCGTTTTCATTCAAGATATTACGCTATAGGCGTAATGGTTTTCATAGTATTGCGCGGAGTCTGTGTCGTAACACTTTATGACAACTACGTGTCCTTTACAACTGTTCGTAGATTAACATACGTTTCTTTTCGTTTCTTCGAGGTTGCGACATTTTACGAGTGTTTCAATTCCAAGCAAGCATGAACAAAGATTGAATCTAAACTTTATTTTTGCATTTCGTGCTGCTTTCAGGGCCTGCAATGCGTCCTCTCCAGCTACAACATCGTAAGTTCATTTCGCTTTAAAAGCATGCCTGCTTGCTATATCAAAACATCCAATTCATTTGTTTGACGTAGAATTTTTCTCTTAGTATTGTATTTACCTCATTTAAAAATAACGAACATATGAAAAAAGTGGATGCGCTTATTACGTCGTCACTAACATATGCAATGTACTTGAACTCTCATGGACGTTAAAACCCAATTAATCGCTGTTAAACTGTCGTGATTCACAAATTGCAAATATCAAGGATGAATTCAAAACTCCAAAACAGTTTCATATTTTGTTAACTGTAATGTCTGAATACGAAAATGCCTGGGTAAGGAAAACGTACAAAAGATACAACAAAGTATCTCACGCGAAATCGGGCTTACAGCGTATAGGCAAAATTATCACGAGACAGGAGTTATTTAGGAAAGGGTATAATACAACCAGGCTTGTGAGTTTATATTTCGGTCATCACGAATAAAACAAAACAAAAATATGAAGAAAACAAAATGGCGCGGTTGTAAACAGGACAGCGCATTATTTCTGGGTGGTGTATAATGCGTCTGAAGCAATGCGCCTCAGCAGTAAGCCCGTCAGGGAAAACCAAGCTGAATTTGTGAAGATTATCTCATGTGACACTGTCCCTCTGAAACTCTTACACGAAGCGGGCGTATGGTTTCCATCTGATGCAAACAGATTGGTAGAATGTTTTCCTAAATAGAAACACAATGGCTTCAGGTCAACAAAAATGACGTGAACCTGGACCGCATGGCTCAACTGGCTAGGACCATCACGCAGCAGGACCTGAAGAGTGCCTTCGAAGAGTGCCCCAAAAACGATCGCAACAAGCACGTGAGTTGCACAGACACGGCGCTCATATCATGCGAGCAAGCGTGTGTGTGTGTGAAGAACGTACGTGCGTGCTTCTAAATGTCTACCAGAGTGAGTGTCTGTAGGCTTGAGTTGTTGTAACGCCAGTGGCACCCATACACAATTACACGCACACATAAAAATAATCTACATTATCGCGGTTCAGAAACGGCTGAACACTGCCTTTTAACGTCAGCGCTGTCACTATAATATCGTGGTAAATCACAAAAAGTATACGCAGTCATCATACAGGGCCATGTAGATATAGTTTGTGCACACGAATACGCATGGTTCTATATTGTGGGATGCGGATTTGAGTGTATAAAAATAAATAATAGTCATTGTTTTCTTGCTGGAACAGCCGAATGTGAAGATTGCTGACTTAAAGATATTATTGGCCACGTTAGGTGTGATTGTTGTGTGTTCTCGGCGCTAAAAGCTGTTCCCGTTCCACAAGCTTCAAGTCCATGACTTTACAGAAATCAGAATTTTTAACAAATTAAGCTGCTTGTGCGGTTTTTTTCTTCTTTTATTTGGAGTCCTTTTCATCATTGCAGTAACGCATTCTATTAGTATCTTTGCTTTTCTCGTGATATTTCTACTTTCCTCTCAACCCGTAGTGAGGAGTACTTAACACTAATTTTGTGCCCTTAATATTCTAATTTATCTTTCTTTGTCAAGACAAAACCGAGGCCTCTATGATAAAAAAGGGTGAAAACATAATCAAAGTTTGATTACAATTCTACGCACCTTCGGCTCTCTATTTGTAACGAATAAGGTAACAGCACTCAGCTTTTAAATACCATATTATAAACCTGTACTTGTTAACTCAATTATAAGCATGCCCTATATACAGTCCGCTTTAAGCTTACTGTCTAATCAACTTTCTGCGTATTCCGTTTTTGTCTAATATGGAAGCCTTTTATTTTCAGGTCCAAAGAGCTGTCAAATGCGTCATCGACCACCTGGAGCGCGTAAGTGCAAATCTTTTTTTTATGAGAGTAAATGCACTGTAAATATTAGAACTGTATTAGTGCGAAAATTTGGGAACAAAACTGGTAATAATGCACAAACTGATAGGGAGGTCATAAAGAAAATAGCTCACCAGACTGGTGTAACCCTACGTCGGGCATTGCTCGCAGAGCAACCAGCATCGATTGCTGATATGGAAAGAGGTTTCATTCTTTTCTCTATTTAACTTGCCTTCGTGACACTAAATCAAGTCGGCAGAGAGCACACATAATAGATGTCGCTGTAGAGTGCTGCTGTTATAAAAATGCTAATACCGACAAATCCTACCTATGTTCCAATTCTAATAATTATTCAACCATATTTTGGCCCACCGTATACAGTTATACAATGAGTAAAATGTGTTGCCCTAGGAGCATTTCCTGACGGTGTCATTCTGCACATCGTTTTTCTAGGATGACTATTTCAGTATTCAGACAAAAATAATAGGACGCTGAACCTGTTGATGAAGTTCAGATTATTAGATGACCGAATATGTAGAAGTAGCCAATGCATTTGTTTTTCGTATGTCCTCGCCCAGACATGCCCTGTGCCAGACGGCGCTGCTGGATCCAGAGAGTAAGAACGTGACGTCACTGGGGCGTGATTGGTCAGCAGGAGAAAGAGCGAGAAACGGTACGCATACCAACCACGTCCTCTTTTTTTTTTTTTGAAATTCTCCTTTCAGTAATGCTATCCGCGTTAACGTGAATGCAAGGGAAAACGAAAGCGCAGGATTCTTTTTGATTTCAAGAGTGAGTGAGTGAGTGAGTGAGTGAGTGAGTGAGTGAGTGAGTGAGTGAGTGAGTGAGTGAGTGAGTCCAACTTTGTTCGGTTCACAAGAGACGCGAGCAAACTCAACGTCAGCCGGCTAGGCCCACTCGGGGACCATTAGGTTAAACCTGGCGTCCCTCTCGCGGGCCCTCTGGATGTCCAGAATCCAACAGCTCTGGTCTTGGATCTTAATAAGAGCGGGAATTAGGGTGATTTTATTATTGTACATGAATACCAAATTATGTCATTGTCTTTCGCTCTCATAACGGCCTTCTGTATAACTTTATAACAGGCTTTTCGAAAACACACGATCAAAAGTTTGCATACTGCTTGCCCTGTTTTGTTTGTCGTTAATCCTTCGTTCGTTTCACTGAGCGCAACTAATTAAGAATGCCAGCTAGCTCCAGCTGAAGTTTCGCTGAACGTTCTTGTTGAGTATGTTGTACTGGGTGAGTCTTTAGACCACGCACTTTTGACGCAGTTCGTATGCTGTGACGCCTGACGGCAATATATGCTTGTGATCCGCAGTGACGTGCTGACGTCACTCCTCGCAGTTCATGGCCTGTTTAGGTTTCTTTCATATTCTTTTTGTTTTCACGAGACAGTTTGAAACACTGGCGTGAATGAATGCTATAAAGAATATCCCTGCTATGTTGTTGTCCAAGTATCTGATTTTGCTTTAGTCGCGACTCGATTTCGAGCCGTCCTAGGCGAATGCATGAGAACCTGTGAGTGCTTTCAACTCGGAAAGCGCGCTCCGCTGGTGGTTATAAAATTGAGGCATTCAGTACGAACACTCGGAGACAGTGCATCACAGACAGAGATTGGGGCGTATCAAGCTGTTTTTCCTTATTTGCACGGCTAAGCAAGTGAAGTTGCATTCATTTCCCAGCGCTTTGTGCTGCTTTTTACGGTGGGGGAAAAACACGTTAATATTCGTCAAGCTGGTGACCAGACATGGCAATTTAAAAAGCAAACCACAATAGTGTGTCCCTCTTGTCCACCTTCCGAATCTTGATGATCAGTATTTAAAAGTACCAGTATGCACGAGATCAATTACTGACATTTAGTGTATAAGAAGTGGGCATCCCAACCAGTGTACCAATAATATATTATGTCTTTCAGCATCCTGACTAGGCCATTAGTTCTACTCGGAAACTTCCCGGATAATAAGAAGATGGAAAAAACTGATTCCTACAGCACTGGAGACACCTCTGGAAGGTTGGAAAATCTGCGAGTCTGGGAACAAAATAATAAAGGATCAGTGCACAACACTGCGCAAGAAAATATAGATTTTTGTCATGCATCATTCGTTTTTATGCAGTAAAAGACATTGTACACTGAAGTATTGACGTCACGTTGCAGAAGCAACAAGCCGGTTCCGACAACCTGGTACGAACACCAAACAACTCCATAACGTTCAAAGGAACAACTTCGTGGCCCTAACCTAAATAATTGTACAGAACGTTGATATTGAATTTAGAACACTTTTCATCTATCGACAAACGACGAAGATCATCGTGTTCAGCTTCGGTTACTATGCTGAGGAATCACAAAAGAAAAAATGGGCCCGGATCTGCACGGTACATTGCAAATGCCACCGAAAGACGATAGTCTTGCGCCTGGAAAGAGAGAACAAAACGTTTATTTGATGTTCTACGCACTAAAATCGGTGAATGGTATTCTGGAGGTGCTGCGTTATGCCTAGTTCACACTGAAACATCCGCTTTCTACAGCGACCGAAATTCCCCTGCCGCCGAAACGCAGCGTCGTTTGCACTGGACGCGCTCCGCGCCGCCGAATATGCCATCTACTACGGGGCGAACGTGGGATGGATGCGCTGTCACCCTGTTGTGGTCGCGGCTCGCAAACGCCACTACGCTATCCGGTGGTGTACACTTCGACGATTCTCGTACGCAAGAAGCAAGAAAAGACAGTAATGCTTACTTTCCTGGCAAGTGGCTGTCTTGTAATGCACGAAGAGCAAAAAAACCACTGACGCCAACGGCGTTGGTGGGTTCGTTTTGCTTTGCAAGACCGCAACAAGCTCGGTCACGCCAACAGCAAGCTCGGTCACCTCTTCCACGAAACACGGAGGCGAAGTAGGCACAGAGTAGGTTAAACTCCCGCTGGTTTCAACATTCAGTTACGTGCACTGCAGCATAACAAGTGAGTAGGACTTGGCCGCCATTTTTCAAAATTCTTTGACTAGCACTCCTATTTGTCCGCGGTGACCGATTCGGCGGCAGACGCCGCAAAAATCGGTCCGAGAGCGATCGGCGCGGAGAGGGCTCTTTCGGCGGATCTCGCCGCCGCCGAACCGGATTCGGAGCACTTTCGGCGGCCGGAATGCTCCGTGTGAACGCGGCCTTAGAGTGCCTCGAGCGTGCAGCGGAGGCGAACGAGCGCATCGAGGCACGTTAGCCACGAGCGCCATCTGGTAGCTATCTCCAAAAATGGAGGAAAGCCTCCGTGTCTGCGGAGAAAGATGCGTGCCATTCTCGGAGGCGATAAGGTGTAAAACGTGAAGCGACGGGCAGGTGCCACCAGCGGGTCGTTTTAGCAAATAGTTGGTAACACGTGCCTTTTCGAGCACCGCGTCGCACTGTCAGCGCAGCACCTTTAACGCTACGGTTCTTATAAATACTTGTGTGTGCTTTTTCCAGTATAAAGGCACACATACAAAACATCGACGTGTTGTTATGGTGCCTCAGGTATGTGGAATGAAATTTTATTTAATTGACAATTGCACAAGTATGAACGCTGGGCCTTGAGCAATATTGGTGGTCGCTGCGGATGGGGTGGGCCGTTTAAGGTATCGTTAAGGGCGGACAAACAGAAAAATATTTTGTATTTTGTTCTAACCGAGCTTCTTTGCGTTAATCTCTTTCAACGTAGGGACGGCTTTGAGCTCTCCCATAGTACAGTACCAAGTACTGTAAATCGTTAACCACTTCTTCTAAACTCTAACCGAGTGAGAGCTCACGGCTCTTGGTGTGTCTGCGCAAACAGAATTATTAAGCAGTAATGCTCAAATGCAAATTTTGTGCAAAAAGATATCAATGAAATATAGTAACATCCTCTAAGAGGCCCCTTAAAATACTGACAAGTATAAAAAAGAGTTCTTTGCTTAGTGCGCTGTTGGTAAGGGGTGACTCGAGTTGGAGTTGAAGAACATGAAAGTAGCAAGCATCCAGATTGCGCGCGAGAAGTTAGTTGCATGCATTCATTCCGGAGGAAAAAAAAAATAAGCGAACTTCGCATTAATCGTGGCAAGCTTGAAGGAAGCGCGAAGATGGGCAGCCTTATTCGTTTCTCTTTCTTTCCCCTTCCCTTTATTTCTTTTTTTCTCTTCTCCACTTTTGACTTTTTTTCTTTATTTCTACTACTGTTTTTTCTTTCCTATCTTTCTCTCTATACCTGATCTTGCCTACCTTACACCAATCAATGGCCATAGCATACGACAGCCGTGCCCTCTAGACCACCACCCTGAGCTTAAAGAAAACAGTAACACCGGACGCTAGTCAGCTCGCGTAAACAATGCTGAAAATATATGCGCCGAAACCGTGGTGCCATTACGAAGCACGTGCTTATGGTGAGCTCCATACTAGTTACGAATACCGGTGATGATTTTTTTTTTCATGTGCCCCTAAATTTAAGTGCCACGTGAGTGCGCTTGCATCTCGACTTTGTCGAAATGTGGCAGTCGTGGCTGCCTCATCTGGTAATATGAATACATATTGAAGCTCATTAGTGATTGAAAAAAGCCGTTCTTTCAACTCCAGCGATGCCCTGTCACCTCAATTGCCTCAAGTCACAATATCTTAAATTGTAAAAAGCGATATGTGGTAATAATTCATGATGTTTTTCGGAGGTGCTAGCTTGGTTCACCAAATTGGCTTGCTACTTAAGGTAGTGAGTGACGACTATGATATATACAATGATTATGTATGCGCACAAATATTCCGTACAATCACAAACACATTTATATGCACAAAAGAGTGAGTAAAATGTTTTTTTAAGTCGAGAGTCTCCAGAAAAACAGCAACAGCCCTTTATTATTGCGGATTGCACACCTGCTATCTTACCACCATCCAAGAACGTATTGCTGTAAGCTCAAGCCGCGTTGCAAATTTGCAAAGAAATGCAGTCTTCGGAATCTGTCGTTTTTCATCGTATACCAGGAACAATTACAGTGGAGTCTTCTCCATGTGATCATCCCTCCCAATCCAGTCTTCCACAGTGTTACATGTTGTGCACGTAGAACACTTTGACTGCTTAATCTTGTGCTTGAAGTATTTCGTATCTGTAACGTCGAGTCTCGCGCGGTGAATGCATGTTTAATCTTCCGTTATTTGTCCTTGTCTGCTGCATAGAAAAAATTGGACACTTTTCGTATTCTAAAGTGCGTTCTGTAAAAGCATTGGCCAATCGACAAACAATGCCATTTCTTTTTTTTTACGCTTCCAGTTGAATGCCACACAAACGGAACGTAGTGATTCGCATCGCTATAGCGCCAGCAAGAGGAGGGCAGAGACGAAGACAAGAAAGAGGAGGAAGAGAGCAATAAACCGATGCCGTCATAATGTCTCCCTGAAAATATTACACGGAATGTATGCTTGTATTGTAATTCTGACCGAGAATCACGGCAAGATGTGAGACTATCTGTGAGTGTGACCGTGACGACAACTATTAATATTATGATGAGTTTACTGGACGATGTTAGTGGACACTAAAGAACACAAGATGGTCGCAATTTTCGGAGTCCTCCACTACGGCGTCTCTCATAACCACATGATCGTTTTAGGATGTACAACCTCGCATAGTATTAGTATCGTCCTCCGTTTGAAATGCGTTCGTATTCTCGCGCTATATAAGCGCATTGTGCTGATGCCATCCATGTTCCAGCGCTCATAACTCCTCCCACGTGCGGCGCCTACTGGGAAGATGTCCCTACTGTTGAATCCGTGCCAGGGGACCGGACACCAGTCACCTCATGCACTCGCGACCTTGTGTGAGCATGACGTGCTCGTGCGTATGCTCCATGTGATCCACCCGCTCGCGTGACGAAGAGGGCAAGGAAGAGATTTGGCTGGGGAACGCTACATGCGGCAAGCGGCGAAGATTTGAAGCTCGCCTTTTCGCATCATGGTTTTGTGCAGCTTCAAAGCATTATTTTTTTCTGCTTCTGAAGGGCCAATTAAAAATACTTGTGGCATAATGCTCTTTTTTGGGCGCTCGACAACTTGCAGATCCTAACTAAAACTCGTTATGTCACCTCGTTAGGGGTCAGGTAATAGAACCAACGCGTAGCTTGCATTGTCACTATAGGCATGTTACTTTTCTACTTACAGTCTTTTCTCTTTTAAATGCGAAGCATTTCTCAGCGAACTTCGGCGACTTTGAGCGTATCTATCTATCTATCTATCTATCTATCTATCTATCTATCTATCTATCTATCTATCTATCTATCTATCTATCTATCTATCTATCTATCTATCTATCTATCTATCTATCTATCTATCTATCTATCTATCTATCTATCTATCTAGCCGCTTACGTTTGGGTACTCTCCTGGTCACCCCCTAACTTGGCGTTAACCAAAATTAGCATGGGAGGGTAAGATGGTTTGACGAATACTACGCGCTGGTCAAGACATGAATAATGCCACAATCCCGTCACGTACACCGTCGAACACTTCGCGCCAGACAGCGGCACAAACCCACGGGCGGGTATGTGCCACAAGTGATTGACACTCAGCATCTACCCAGGAACAACAAGAACACACATGGGCAATTTTAACGCGTGAGCGTTAAGCAATACCCGACGTTGGTAGCGTCGACCCAACGAATGCAAAGAAGAAATGTCCGGGTTCCAGCTGGAATTGAAACCAAGTATTCTGCGTGGCAACGAAGCATTTTACCACAGAGCTACGCAAGGTCTCGGAACTTCTTTTAAATAGATGCTAATCTTCTTGAAACGTTAGTAGTGGTTGCAGTGCTGCCTACCCAACTTTGTAAACATTGCATATATACTCTTTTTATACAGCCGCCACGTCTGGTTAACGTCGATTGAGGTTAGTTGCCATGCGCTGAAGTTTATTTACGTAACAGTGTCCAGGGCCAGCATCCTAGCGAACATCAGCGCTTCATATCAGCTTCTGGTGTTGCTAATACGCATGTTCCTGTTGAAGTCGTTGCGCAAGTGCTAACAACTGGTTATACAAACATCTGTAATTCTCCAACACATGTCTGTGCGTGAAACATTTGTACACATATTTAGCGTCATTTCATGACGCGTCGCTCG